CTATGAGGTTGATTATTTTAACCTTTTTACAAGAAGGAAACTGAGACTCAAGGAAGAGCCATAAATTGTTTTGCTAATAAAGATCAAAGCTGTTATTAAAACTTAACATCTTTTGATACCAAAATTCATTTTCTTTCCACTGTGCAACTTGTTACAAATCATTATCATTACTCGTGTATGTGTGTTAGCAATTAATAAATTTCCTTAACTTACATAGCACCATAAAGTAATGAAAAGACCTCCAAAAGTTTTTCTTCTTCTTCCCCCCTCTTGTAATCTTTGGTATCATTCCTGGTCTCCACATGTGCTTGGGTAGAGTGCTCTGAGCCTGAACCCATGGCCTTCAGATTTGATGGCTATGAATAATAGTGCCATCTACCAAATATCTATATTAATGTCCAGGTGAAATCTTAAAAAAACACAACAACAAAGAACCTCTACAAAATCAGGAAAAAAGTAAAACCAACAGTAAAAGTGGTAGCCTTTGTCAGCTTGGAAGGTAAATGCCCCCCCCCACACACACACACACATAAAACCCACACTTAAGGAACACACTGATCAAGCTTATATTCTTAGCCAATTCTTTGTGGGCATTCCTTAAGAGGGTTGAGTATGGAGAGTGGATCAAGTTACACAAGGATATTTCGGAGCGAATCTTCTAAATTAATGTTATATGTATCCTAAACTTTCTAAATGAAAAGCAGCAGTCTGGATAATAAAATTTGAATTAGAAGATTTTGCCTGTGGTATTACCGGCAGAAAGTGTAAACAAAGAGAATCGTTTTACATCAAGTATATATTTATGTACGTGTATTTTGATGAGCCATTTGAGTTGGTTCATAAGTAAGTCAGAAAGATGGTCGAATTCAAGGCAGCGGCAGTAGAAATCATTTAATCACTTACTGTATCCGAAACGCTGCCAGCAGGAACGTTTGCTTTTTTTCCCCCTTCCTTTTACGCGGCTCACTGCGGGTCACGTGATAGGCGTCACGTGGCTCGGTCAAAGGATCCTTTCCTCGCAGCTTTTCCAAAAAAAAAAAAAAAACCACAGGAACCGTTCTCCAATTAAAGCTGTTAACGTGTACAACGCTGTTTCCTTGTTGGATTTTCTTGTTCTCTGCTGCTACTGTAAAAACAAAATGAGTGGTAAGATTTGCTGTTTTTGAACATTCTGCTTTTATTTTAAAACAGAAAGCATTGTATTAAGCTAAAGTCATGCCGTGTGTGTGTGTGTGTGTGTGTGTGTGTGCGCGCGCGCGCGCGCGTTCAATAGATGCCAAATGTTTCGCTATAAAAATATTTTAAATTGTTGCCATGTAGTTATAAAAAGATCAGACTCTAGAGTTAAGCTGATGTTGTATTCCACAGATCTTTTCCGGCGTTTTTATTTTACTAGGTTTTTCTTTTTGGAACTAAAATCTAAAAATTGGCATCAGATTATTTGGAAGCCATTGTGAAAGCTTGTCTATAGAGAGAATGTGTAGCACGTCAGCAGCCCGTTGCATTTTAAGAATTTAAGAGAAATTTGTAGTTTCGTTTAAAAAAAAAACATGCTTAAATGTGAACGTATGCTAATAAAGAAAAAGAATTTAAATTATGCTAAACGAAATATCTTTATTAAGTCATTGATGGCACTTTTAAGGAATTGAGGTGAGGGGCTTCTCAAATTTCTTACGACAATTGGTAAATGGAATTGTTGACTCTTCTGCAAGGTTTTGGAATAGGAAATATGCCCGCCCCCCCCCACACACACACAAATAATCAATAGATCTATGACTTGGGGCAGATTTTGCTCAAATCATGTAGATTATTAAACTGCTAGGTGTATCTACAGTTTTTCAGATATAGCTACTCTTGTGCAGATGTGCATTTATTGGTACACTCTAACAGATTTAGCTTCTTGGGTGGAACAAAATCTCCCTCACTGCTTTTAATTAGGATTTGTCCTTTATCTTTTAGTACTTCCTAAATTAAAAAGTATTATTGGATCTAAGGAGGTAATCAAACATTTGCATCATTAAGGATGTAAGATGTTAGAGTTTTGCTATTATACACAGGAATAGCAACAAAAATGGTGCTGTAAATATTGTAGTTTCACACATCAATACTTGTATTTACTATGTTTATACAACAGGAGTTTTATGTGTTCAGTGTTGAATGTTACTTCATACCAGTATTTTAGATATTAAATATGGTATCCATGGATAGTCTTTAAAAAAAGATCTAACCATGTACCATTTCTGCCTCAGGATAAGAAAATTTACTTGCTAGAATGAAATGATTACTTCTTAGGGAAATGAGTTAATCATTATTCTTTGACTGCAACTAGTAGTGTAATTACTGCTGGTTTATTTTAGGTTGTGTTTGTTTTATTTTGTTTCACTATCACACTTAAATATAATCAAAGGATAAAGTAGAATTTTGTGCTAGTAAATTATAAACTACTTGGCAGCTTTCAAAGTATAATATGGTTTGAATTATAACTATATAGTATTTATATATTCGTGTTTTTAGTAAAAGAAGGGCAGACCAAAGCAATTGTGTTGTTTTACAAGTTTTAAATGTGATCAGCAATAGCTCTTTTACTCTGATTGCTAAAAAGCAAAAACAACAAAACCTATGCTGATGAGGATTAAATTTGACAACACCTAAAAGGAACCACAGTCCCTGGCATACATGAGCTCAATGAATATTAAATCCCTTTATTAAGATTACAAACAAGGTTTTCAAGGAATTCTCTTTCTGATTCCTAGCTAAATTTTACATATTATAATAGCTAAGGTAACTATTGGGATTCAGAAAGCTAATTTACTATAGTTTTATGTAAATTAGCTAATTGAAGTAAACCAACATTAATTTAAAACTATTCTCATTTTCTGTTGAGTCCAGCTTGTAGAAGTTAAAAGGTGAGTTTTGGATGAAGCCTTTGTTGGCTAGAGGTACAAAGCACCTCACAAGTTTTATTTAGTAAATTCATAGGTACTGTCTTAAAGTTAAGAAGATTTTATTCCTTTCTCTGTTGTTTTTCAAGGATATAAAGATAATGAGTCCTTAACTTTCCTTAGAAGCATCGGAGCATTCTAAAGTATATCAGTTGCCAATAATGCATAGTATTGTAATGTTTACTAAATATGTAGTAGAGTGTAGGAGAGATATGTCCTTAGAAATGAAACTGCCTCGTTTTAGGTAAGCTTAACCTCTCTGCCTCAATTTCCACATCAGGAAAATGGGAGTAATAATAATAATATTCCTCTAATAGAATGAGTATGAGGAGAAAAATATATATCAAGGACCTGGCACACAGTAAGTTAGTAGTAGTTATATTCTGAACAACTTCATGTATTTGTTGGGCTTTTTTTGGATGGGAAGACTATTTTGTTGAAGTTATTTTTATAATCATATATTACATAGCATAATTTGGTAATTCTTCCCTCCCCTCCTCCCCCCACATACACTCCTTACTTCCTCTTACCCACTTGAGTCTTTTCCCTGCTCTCTTCCTTCCCTACCCTTTTCTCCTTCTCCCATTCTTCCAGCCCCTTTCCCTAACCCTCCCTTTTTCTCCCTCCCTTCCCCTCCCCCTTCTGTTACCTCTCTTCCTTTGCCCAGTTCTCTCTCCCCTCTTGTCTTTATCCCCCCCCCCCTTTTTTCTTCTCCTGTCTTCCCCTCTTTCCTTACCACTGTTTGGTATTTCCTCTCTTGGACCCCCCTTTTCCCACATTCTCTTTTCTCTTTCCCTACCTCTCACATCCCTTTCCCTACCCCCACCACTACTTTGTTGTTTGGTCCCACCCCTTCTCCTTCCCTAGAAAGAGAGTGACTTTAATCTGGATTTGCCAGTAACCTCCAAGCTCTTTATTGTTTTTCTGAAGTCTGTATAATGTTACCAGTAAAATTTGTTTTTCTGTCCAATGATTTCTGCCCTCTTCCTCCTTTATTTCTTTTGTAACTGAGACCCATTATATGTACTGCAGGTTGAAATTCTACACATAAAATGAATTTCTTCCCCATTACATTCTTCATCTGACTCTTGGCACCTTTATTTCCTTAAAATGAGTAAGTCTCTTTGAGTAGGTTTCATTTCAAGTTATTGAAAACTAGTGGGTGAGGGGACAGTGCAGCTAAAGTTACAGGAGAAAAAGGATCTGAGGTGAGATGCTTTTTTTTTTAAGTTATGTAAAGCAAGTAAGATTTTAGTTCCTAGAAAGAATAAAACACACCTTCCAAAAGTGCCTGTTTTATCCCAGAAAGATTGAGAGAAGGTAAACAAGAGATAATATTTATAAAAGTTGTTTGAAAAGGATAACATAAAAATGATCTAAGGAAATGTACAATAAGATGAGCTGGATTTTCTTCTTTTTTTTTTAAGAACTTTTCAGTGTAAGAAAATTTTTTTTTTTTACTAAATATACATGTATGGCATTTCCCTAACTTTGTTCTCAAGCCTCCACAGATATGACTTACATTAGAGGCTTTTAACCCTAACAAAGCAAGTTACAAATTTCTAACTATTCTTCCTCTTACTGCTTTTCCCTCTTGACTTTTTCTTTTTTTTTTGTTTTTTTTTTTGTTTCCTATTGCTTTTCAAAATTTTGCCTTTCGTATGTAAAGTTTAGTTTTCTTTTCCTCTCAGTGTTTCTAAATTTGCACAATAATCAGAGTCACCTGGTATATTTGTAAAGTAAATATACTGATTCAAGTCCCCTGTTTACTATAAGCATATCTTTAGGAGAGCCTGGAAATCTTTGTGTTTTAAAAAGCTCTCCAGGTGACTATTAATGATTACCAGGCAGCTTTGAGAAAGTGTAATCTGCACTTTTATAAGATAAACTTTTATATTTTGTAACAGATGAAACATTTGAATTTCTTTTCATAGTAATACAGTCCCTATTAGTCTGAGTGTTTGGTTCAGATGAAGTATTAAAGTGTAAATCAAATTGTTTTCAACTTTAGCATGCTAAATAACCCTGGATTAATATATCATCTCTGTGGCCCATCAGGTCCTGCTCAGGTTCCAATGATGTCTCCAAATGGTTCTGTGCCTCCTATTTACGTGCCTCCTGGATATGCACCACAGGTATATTTTTATGTTATTTTTGTTTTTACACCCATATAATAATGATTGTAATGTTACTGTTTAACTTTAATTCTAATTTTTAAAAAATACAATTTAAGTGCTAAAGCTTACCCAGTACAGTATATCTTTGGTAAATCTGTTTCAAGTATTTTAGTGCATTTAGTATATTTGGAAAAGAGGAAAAATTAAATTGGCAGCACTCATCATTTGGCCTTGTTTTTGGGTATTGAATTATAATAGAGAATTAATTCTAGAATTTTATCTCCTTGAACTGTGAATAATGTAAATAATATGTTAAGGGCTAAAGGTGCCTACACTAACATTTTTTAAAATTAACGATTTGCTTAGAATCCAAGATAACACTTCCAACCTTATTCATACACTGGCTCACAGACACCCATAGTAATTGTATGGCACACTGTGGTGAATAGAAGAGAATTGAGACCTGTAGACCTATGCTAAGGGCTAAGGGGATCAATATCACCGCATACCTGTAACCCTTTCCTGCACACCAGTTGGAAAGCTCTGACTGAAAGAATAAAGGATAGCTAACTTAATTTGCACAGGCAAACCAAATTATATTGTAAGCTCTGTAAGTGTTCAATATCTTCTGCTATTGAAATTCTGTGTAGTCTGTACTCATTACCTCAAATCCTTTGGGAAATGTCATCTTTTCTTAGCAATGGATTTACACTTGAAATTTTATTCAGGCCTTCTGTTATTTTCTCCCTAATTTTGCCAGAATATGGGTGGGATATTATGGTGGATTCACTGCACTCTATGAATGACAGTAAAAGAAGACGGTGGTGGTGGGGAGAATGGAAGTAGTATGAAAATTAGAGTCAGAAAAGCTGGATCCATTTCTTATTTCAAACCCTTGCTGGCTACATGGCCTTGGACAAATCAGCTTCCTTGAGTCTCAGTGTCCTCACTGTAAGGTGAGATGATAACATATATGAGATAATATATGAAAGTACTTTGTAAACTTTTCAGAAAAAATACTCTGTTCACTATCTCTACTTTTCTTAATACACTGGCTCCTTAATTTATTGGACTGTGCATTCCGCCCATATTATCCCACTAAACCTGCTCCCTGATATGTACCAACCCCAAAGGCCTTTTTTCCAGCCTGATCCTTTTTTGATCTCTAAACATTTGACACCATTGATATGAGTTACCCCAGATTTCCTTGACATAATGCTGTCCTGATTTACTTCTCTGGTTGCTGCTTCTCAGACCTTTCTCCACTTACGTACGGCCATACCTCGTTTTTTTCTCCCTGGCATAGTTCAGTTCAACAAACATGTATTGAATGGCACCATGTGCCAAGCTCTGTATTGGGTGCAAGTGACATAAAGATGATTAAGACAAATTATTTCAGTGCAATTATAGGGTAGCCTGCTGTTCTCTCTGCTAACAGTACCTTTTATTTTTAATTTTATAGCAAATTCCTGCCCTTCTCATTTTACCCAATCATGACCTCCTAGAAATAGCTTTCCTTGAACCTTTCCAGGTGCCTCCTTTTGGATTCTCTTGGCATATTATATAGATCAGGGTCCGGCAAACTTTTGAGACGGAGGAGCCAATCCCATCCCTCACAACAATTTAAAAATTATTCGAGAGCCATAAAACAAATGAAATCACCATTATGTGAATAATATCCTTTAAAAATTTTACAAATGAAACTATTGATAGTTTGATTTGCTGACCCCTGGTATAGATCCCTCTTTCAATAAATGAGAAGATTATCAACAGTGTTCAACAGATATGTGTTGAGTGCTCATTGATGCCGAGCACTCTTCTAGGTGATTGGGATATATCCATGAATACAACAGGCAAAGACCTCTGTCCCTCTGTAGTTTACAATTTTGTGGGGAGAAGTGAACAATAAGCATAATAAATGGATAAATTACATAATGTATTAGGTGATGAGTGATATGGAGGAAAGGAAAGAAAAATAGAACTGGTTACATTTTAAAATAGGATACTCAGACTAGGTCTCATTAGAAAGGTGACATTTGAACCAAGTCTTGAAAGACAGGTGGAAGTTAGCCATGCATTTATTTGGGAGAAGAGGATTCTGGGAATAGAAACAGCCAGGTCAAATGACCTATAAGATGAGAACATTCCTGGGAACAGCAAGGAGGCCATTGTGGCTGGACTATGTCCTCCAGGCAGAAAAATAGAAGTAATGAGGTCAGAGAGGTAACATGACCAGGTAATATAGGGCTC